CACCTTCACTGTTCTTTTTGTCTCACAAATTTCCATGCACTTCTTTTTTTTTTAATAGTTTATTTACGTTTATGAGCATTGGTGTTTTGCCTGCATGAGTGCCTGTGTGAGGATATCAGATCCCCTTGTGGGTGCTGGGAATTGAACCTGGGTCCTCTGGAAGATCGGTTAATGTTCTTAACTTCTGAGCCATCTTTCCAGCCCCATCCCATGTACTCTTACCCAAGGGTGCTATTTACATAGATGTTGGTAGAACACAGGGAAACTAGGTGGGATAGGTATGTGGACTGGATCCCAAGGCTAATGTCAAGAACACAGTTCAACAAGCTGAGCCAGGTCAGAGGGACAGTTTTATATAGTGGCTCAGGGGAGGCTGTGACCGATGTCCTTGGAGTGTGAGGAGAGCCCAGCTCCACTCTCCTTCCTTCCAATGCCTTCTACTTCACAATCAACTAGAATCTAGCTGGAAGCAGGGAGCAGGGGCTGGTCTGTGCAGTCCACAGAAGCCGGGGTTCCTGGTTCCTGCAGTGTAGGCAAGGTGAAGAGTGAGCGGCAGAGGGGAAACATGGACCAGCTGGCTGATGGGAGTGTTCGGCTCTTCCTGTCCAATGCCTACCTATCTCTCTCTTGTTTATATGTTGACATTCTAACCCCGACTCCCTGAGCAGGTGACTGCATTTGGAGACAGTCTCTACAGCAGCAGTGGAGTTGAAATGAGCATCTTACTCAACATGACTGTGTTCTCATCCGAGACGAAAACACACGTATCTTTATTCACAGGGGAAAGACCACGTGAAGATGAAGAGAGAAGACAGACATCTACAAGGTAAAGAACCACATTACAGGAATACCCAGCCCCAACTGTCAGGATGCATCATGTCACGTGGATCTGTTGAAGAAAGGAGACGGCAGTCCGTTCCAACATGAAACTTTAAGGCCTATGTGGCATCAGGAAGGTTCGGCCTAGGGTCTTGTAACCAAGGTCATGGGACGGCTACAATGTCTCTTCAGCAAAACAATCACTGTTTTCCACAAGGATTCTTCAAGGTCAAAGTAGCTCTAAAAACAGCTGTTCATTCTAATAGCTATTCTTCCTACAACACCCAACCAATGCGATGGTATGCATTTGTAATACCACTATTGAGGAAGCTGAGGCCAGAGGATTTCAGAGAGTTTGAGGTCAGCTTGGCCTACACAGTGAGTTTAAAGCCGCTCTGCATTAAGGCTGTATAGTGTGAAATTGTCTCCTCCCAGCCCTAAGAGGGGGACTTACGTAGTGGGTAGCTTAGCTTGGCTTCAAAGTTGCTTTGTTGGGGAAGATGACCTTCAACTTCTGACTCTCTTGCTTCTGCCTCTGGAGACCTGGGATGATATGCATGCATCATCACATCCTGTTTTATTTGGTGCTGGGTTTTGTGTGTCCTACGCAAGCATTCTGAGTTGTATCTTTAGACTGATCTGGCCACGGTGGCACACGCCTTTAATGCCAGCACTTGGGAGGCAGATGCAGGTAGATTTCTGTAGTTCAAGGTCACCTTTGTCTACAGAGTAAGTTCCAAGCCAGCCAGGGTACTTAGTGAGACCTTTCTATAAACAAACAAGAAGCAAGGGGCTGAAGGGATGGTTCAGCAGAACACGGTACTGCTCTTGTAGTTCCAGGTGAGAGCTTGTGTTTAAGTGCTAGTGGAAAGAGCGGATCACTTATCAAGGGGAAAACCAAAACAATTCCAGCTCTGGTACAAGCCTGTGGTCCCAGCTACATTAAGGCCAAGGCAGAAAGATCACGAGTTCAAGTAGCCTGGGCAACTTAGTGAGATCATGTCTCAAATAAAAATCGAGAAGAGGGTTGGGAGTAGAGATAACTCGGTGGTAGAATACTTGCATGCGAGACACCAGGTTCCCCTGCCTCTTCCATAAGATGATGTTATCAAAGGCTGCACTCCCAGATGGCCATCACAACAGTAACCCTATAACCATCCTGGGACAATTGCTGACCTGCCCTTGCTGTGTCCCTTTCAGCCTATTCTAGGAGACACAAACCACACTTTCTGTTCCCAGCTACCCAACAACTTCATCCTGTTCTGAGCAAACACGTCTTGGGTGTGAGCTTCTAGTCAGCCATGTCCCCACACTCCCAAGTACTCCTCTTTGCCCACCAATGTTCTGTTCTTTCTGTTGCAGAAGGATTAAACGTGACAACAGGAGGGAATTTCAAAGGTTCAAGATGATCACTCCTGGATAATTAGGGAGAAAAATTGCCCACTTTGTAATTTCTTCTTTATGTTTTCAGCTTTCCTCCATGAACTTGGAGTAAACCTTTCTAATGCTTTTGCAGCATAGACTGGGATAGCTTACAGAGTCAGGCCTTGGAGGGAGAAGGGAAATATGTCTGTAGACTAGGCCAGTAGATAGCTCTTACACAGACAGAATTAGAAGGGAAGGTTATATTTAGCTAGGAGCATGTTTATTCCCCAGAGCTGACTCCTCTAGATCTCAGGGACCCAGGACCTGGAAGCCCTTCACAGTTGGCCAAGGGGCTAGAGTCCCTTTTCCTTTCCTTTCCTTTCCTTCCCTTCCCTTCCCTTCCCTTCCCTTCCCTTCCCTTCCCTTTCCTTTCCTTTCCTTTCCTTTCCTTTCCTTTCCTTCCCTTCCCTTCCCTTCCCTTCCCTTCCCTTCCCTTCCCTTCCCTTCCCTTCCCTTTCCTTTCCTTTCCTTTCCTTTTTAGGTTAAACACATAGTATTATGTCTTGGTTTATAGGTAGTGGATAGCAGACACACATCTCTCTTTTTTAAAAAGAATTATTTTACTTTTAAAACTACCCTCAGTGTGTGTGTGTGTGTGTGTGTGTGTGTGTGTGTGTGTGTGTGTGTGTTTACAGCCTGGTGGTCTGGTGCCCTTGAACTCCAGAGCCATCAGGAGTGGGAGTAACAAACAGGCTGTTGTAATGCTGGGAACTGACTGCACTCAGGTCCCCTGCAAGACTAATACATTGATCTTAATTGATCTGCCACAATTCCAGCTCCTGGTCTAGAGTTTTGAGGCAGGAGTGATGCCCATCTCTCAGCTCTGGCCTCAGGTCACTGCATCTCCAGCTGCTAAGGCCAGTTTTATTACAGCCTTTCAGTGAAATTCCCCAATCTCCAGCATTAGGCTAGTAAAGGTAGCACCGTGGGGGTTAGGAGGGGGACAGAGGAGGAGGGAAGGCTGGGAGAACTGGGATTGACATGTAAAACAAGCCTGTTGCAAATTTAATTAAAAAGAAAGAAAGCACTGTGGGGTAGGAGAAAGTGCCCAGGTTGGGCTTCAATCCCTAGCATATCAGACAGAGGTAATTAAGTTCCTACTGCTTTGCTTTCCCATCCATAATGAGAATGATAATAGCTACGCCATGAGTAGGCGGAGTTATCTGTAAGGTAACATAAACAAGCCAACTGCCCAGAAAACATTCCCCACCTTCCCTTCAGAGGCCTCCCTTAGGGTGGGAGGATTTTGAGATGACCTCAGGCTTTTTCCTAAGGACAAAGATAATGGATTCCTAGTGGGGACCTAGTGTGAGATTCAAAGCATTCATTAGGTCAAAAAGTTTACATATGAATACAAACCCTTTATAAGGTAAAATGAGAGAAAAACACCTCTGAATTCACCCTTGCATTTTTGTCCGGTGGATAACTGAAGTCCACAGTCCCTTATGCTTTGGTACAGATTTTACCCTCATACAAAAACACTGGCACATGTGGGTGGGTTTCTTTTTTTTCCCTCTCACAGATTGGGATCCCACTCAAGTAATGCATTTTTTTCATTTAACCCCAAGCCATGGTCTAATCTAGGTAGATACAGATGGACCTAGCTTGTTAATTTTAACAGCTGCATAAGGTTTCACAGAACGCATGAACTCTAATTTTCCAGCCACTGTCTTGTTTGTTTTGAGACAGGGTCTCTACATAGCACTGGCTATCCTGACTCGAACTCAGAGATCCTCCACATCTAAAGTGCTGTGATTAAAGTCATGCGCCACCACAACTCGGCCATTTGACGATTTTTAATTAATTGATTATATGTGATTGGATATATTTGCCTGCATGTATACCTGCGCCTGGTGCTTGCAGAGGTCAAAATAGGATGCCGAATTTCCCGAAAATGGAGTTACAGGAGGTTGTGTGAGTGCTGGAACTCGAATCTGGGTCCTCTGGAGGAGTAGCCAGTGCTCTTAACTGCTGAGGTTTCTCCAGCCCGATGGATTCCCCCCCCCCCCCGTTTTAATCTTGTAACTACAATCCACAATGATGACCCTTGCACACATACCCTGATGAAAGAAATGCCCTAGTTTCTATGGAGTGCTTCTCCTGATCTAAAGCACCCATCCCTCCAAACCCATACTTTGAACAGCTGAACACGGACAGGCTACTCCCCACCCCCACCCCCGGATTTTTACTTTCCCCCTCAATCTTTCACTTTTTAAATTGCAGAGCTGGCGGGCGGGCGAGTGACGCCTCCAGCGGAGGAAACGCTACTTGCAGGCAGCTTTCCACATAGCGTGAAAGCAGATTGCTCCAGCGAGACCCGTTTCAGGAAGGAGGCTTGGACGCTCGTGTCACCTGGGAAAGTGACTTCGCCCCTCTTTGGGTCTCAGTTTCCTTCTGCGTGGCCTGATTGGCCAAGATTAGTCGAGCCTGGAGCGGGAAGCCTCAAATGTCCAGATTGGATGGCTGCCCCGACTATAGGATGTGCCCAGTCTCCGCGAGCATTCCCTCCACACTGCCCGACCTGAGGGAGTGGGAAAAGCTTCCTAAAGCCAGAAAGAAGAAAGCAAGTGCCACACTCAACCCCCCCCCCCCCACCCCCCGAACCAGTCAGTCATTTACGACTTCTGCGCATCTTTGGCGCACTCCCGCCCTTTTGGCTCGGCTATCGACTGCTCCTGTCTGAGCCCTCCCCCCCCCCCCCGTGGCTCAACAGCGCTCCTGCTCAGCCGGTCGTTTGCTTTGGCCTGGCTCCGCCCTGCGGATGGCGCTGAGACGCGACTGCGATCCTCGGCTCGGCCAGCAGCTCGTTCTCCCTTCGCTTGCTTGCTTCCGCTTCCGCTAACAGCTAGCGGCTTTCTGCCCTAGGTGACCATGGCGGGGAGCAGGCTGGAGACGATTGGGAGCGTGTATACCCGGTGCGTGCGTGGGCAGGCTTCCCAGCGGGTCACGACCTTCCTGGCGTGGCCGGAGCGGGAAGCGGTCGCGGGTGTCCGAGCCGGGAGAAGCCCTCGTGCTCCCTGCCGGCTCGGAATGTTTGTCGGTGTCCCCTTTATCTGTCACTTTAAGCATTGTGTTTGCCACCCCACTTCGGTAGGGACCTAGATTAAAGAAGAGGCTGAAGGGCTTGACTGGACGGTCTTTGCGTTTGCACCGTGGGACGGTGGCTGGGCTGGGGGTTGCGGTGCGTGCAAGAAGATAGAGTGGCTTCAAGTTGAGTGTGTTGGCTCATGCCGGTATTCTGAGCACCTGGGAGGCGCAGGCATGACGATCGCCACAAGACCGAGGCCAGCCTGGGCTGCGTAGCGAAACAAAAAAGACAGCCTGGCATGGGCACGCTGTAATTCTCGCTCTGGAGGAGTTCAGGGAAGCACTAAGTTCAAGGCTATCCCCGACTGCATACTGTCTTTAAGGCTATCCTAGGCTACGAGAGACCTAAGCAACAGGACTTACTTAACATGTTGGTCTTGCTAGGTTGCTGTGGGATATGGGAAGTCCTGCTCACTCACCTGTGCTATGCTGCTCTGGCCTGCTTTGAGTGTGTAATCGACTGACCTTGGTTCTGTTCCCTCCCTGAGGACGAGGAATCTGATGCGTGCTGGAGTGTTGAAGGAGAAGCCGCTGTGGTATGATGTATATGAGGCCTTTCCGCCGCTGAGAGAGCCTGTCTTCCGAAGGCCCCGTTTGCGATATGGCAAAGCCAAAGCCGACATCCAGGACATCTTTTACCGGGAGGATCAGATTCGAGCGTGAGTGGCTATCCTCTGTAGTGAGCATGACACAACAGACCTTCAGAAAGGAAGGTTTATGTAGAAGTCTGCTAATGAGCTGACAGGGGCTTGCTCTGTGGAGTTGATCTTGAACAGCAAGTAAAATAATGATATCTCACTTTTTTCCTGTGGTGAGAGCAAGCAGAAGTGTTGGTTGGTTGGTTGGTTGGTTTGCTTGAGACAGGATTTCTCTGTGTAGCCCCGACTGTCCTGAAATGACTTTGTAGATCAGGCTGGCCTGGAACTTGGAGATCCACCTGCCTCTGCCTCTCAGAAGTTCTGAGAAGTGGAATCTGGAGCCCCCAAACTGACAGAACATTTCAGCTAAAGTTGCCTGTTTACTGGAAGTCTTTTGTGTGTGTGTGAGGTACCATGATAGGCCCTTCACAAACATCAGCTCATACAGTTTAACCCTGCCAGAGTAGGCAGCTAATCGTTGCTTCTGTTTTGTTCAAGAGAACTAAGACTCAGGAGGTTAACTGCCTGTGGTACACAGGAGGGTGACTGGTCTGGGAAATCTTAAGTTGGCTGTCGGATCTGCTTCTCTGGAAGTGGAAATCTGAGGAACATGTTCTGTGAATTTAACGTCTAACGATAACATCTAACGATAACATTGAAGCCACCCAGGAAAGGATGCTTAAAAGTGCAAAGCACTTAAAGTAATCATCACCAGAAGTTCGAAGAAAGTGCTGGCCCATTTATTTCTTTAGCATTTCTTTCTTCTTTTTTTCCTCTTGAGACATGGGATCTCCCTGCCTCTGCCTCTGGAGTCCTGGCATTATAGGGATGTATCACTTTGTCTGGTGTTATTAATATGTGCTCATTTTAGAAAGTTGAGAAACAAAAGGAAAGCATAAAGAAGAAAGGATGGATCACCCACCACCCAACTTTTGAAGTAGTAGTTTGAAGGCAGCTCCTGGAACTTAGCTTTGTCACTTTGGAAACATTCCCCCTGTAGACTAGAGTTGTAGAGGTGAAGGAGGATGCTGTTTAAAAGGGCTTTGGTTCTGTTTTTCAGTTTTTCCAAAACTGGGTTTCTCTGTGTGGCCCTGGTCATCCTGGAACTCGCTGTGTAAACCAGCCTGGCTTCTAACTCAGAGATCCACCTGCCTCTGCCTCCTGGTACTTTGTTGTTTTTAAGATTTAGTTTTATTTTTAATTATATGTCTCTGTGTGCATGTGAGTGCAGGTGCCCCTGGAGGCCAGAGGTTGTTGTTGGTTGATTTTTACTCTTTTGCGGGGCCTGTCACCCAGTTCCCAATAACCATACACACGGAGGCTCTTTCTTCTTACAAATGCCCAGTCTTAGCTTGGCTTGTTTATTCTTCATTTATTTATTTTGTTTTTTTTTTTTTTCTCTGTAGCTTTGGAGCCTGTCTTGGAACTCACTCTGTAGACCATGCTGATCTTGAACTCATAGAGATTCTCCTGTCTCTGCCTCCCAAGTGCTGGGATTAGAGGCGTGCACCACCACTGCCCAACTCGATTGACTTGTTTCTAGCCAGCTTTCCTTAAATGATCCCATCTACCTTTTGTCTTTGGGCTTCTTCTTACTTCTGTATGTCTTATTTTCATTCTTGCTCCTTGGCTGGCGGGCTGGGTGGCTGCCCCTGGTGTCCTCTCCTTGCTCCTCAATCTCTCTTCACCCTCTTTCCAGATTTCTCCTATTTATTCTTTCTGCCTGCCTGCCCTATGTATCCTTTCTCCTGCCTCATTTTTTTGCTATGCAGCTCTTTATTAGACCTTTAGGTGTTTTAGACAGTAACACAGCTTCACTGAGTTAAAGAAATGCACCATAAAAGAATGTAGCACATCTTTGCATCATGAAACAAATGTTCCACAGCATAGACAGATCTAACCCATCTTAAAATCATATTCCACAAGAGGTCTTGCAGTTTTGTTAAAATAAAGATTTAGATATTTTTTTTATGTGTATAAGAGTTTTGCCTGCATGTTTATCTGTATGCCACGTGTGTTCACTGCTGGAAGAGGCTGAAGAGGGGGTCAGATACCCTGAAGTTGGAGTTAGGGTCAGTTGTGAAGCTCCTGTCCTGGGTGCTGGGAATTGAACCCAGGTCCTCTGGAAGAGCAGTTAGTGCGCTTAACTATTGAGCCGTCTCTCTAACTCCACATGCTTTTCTTAGTATGTAGAAGTTGTTTATTCATTTTACAAGTTTTTTGTTGTGCCCCCTGTCAAATCCTGTTTCACATGTGTTAGATACTAGGGTATATAACATATTCACATCTACCAGTTTAATTTTGCTGGCCTATTTACCGTTATATTTAGAGTGTTTGGAGAGATTTTTTTTCCCCCAGTAAATTTAACTATCTTACATATTTATTTTTAGCCCAGGATGACGTTGAACTTAGAATCTTTCTGCCTCTACCTCCTCACTTCTGGGATCCCAAGTATGTGATAACCACATTTGAGGTTTTTTTTTTTTTTTTTTGTTATTGTTGTTTTTAAAAATATAATTTACTACATTTACTTATCCATTTAGTATGTGTGCACTTGTGCACATGTATGTCGACATTCATGTGGGGTCAGAGGACAACTTGTGGTAGTTGGTTTCCTCCTTTTACCATTTGAGTCCCAAGAATCCAACCCATGTCATCAGACTTGAGGGCATACACGTTTTACTCACTGAGCCATTTGCTGGCCCAGGCCTACCTTTTTGGAGTTATGCTTAAAGTATGAATCAGGTGTTGTTGAAACAAACAAACAAAAAAATGTATTCTTTAATTTGCTTTCCACACCTTCTAACCTAAATAATGTTGGAAAACAGGCTTTTAATGTCCTTAAACTTCTTATTCTTTTAAATAATAAGAAAAATTCAGATGTCACACCCTAGCTGGGCATGGTGACTCACATGTGTAATCCCAGCAATCCCAGCACCTGGCAGGTAAGGCAGGTGGGTCAACAAGAGTTTGAGGTCAGCCTGAGCTCCATAGTGAAATTTTGTTTCAGACAACTAAGCTGCATCTCAGTGATAGAGGCTCACCTCACATGTGTGAGGCCTAGGGTTCTTCAGCCACAAGTTCTGTTTCTCTGACAACTCCACCCTAAAAACAACCTACGGTGGACCATGTGCTGTCCTACTCATTGCTCTCATCTCAGTGTCTCGTCCAGTTCGTGGCTGGTTGTTCATACGCCTCTGTGGATGAGATGGTGCTTGCTGATCGGACGAAACCACTAGGCTAGCAGGGTGGAGAGGTTAAGATTTAACTAGTTATTTTCTTGCTTTGGTTTTTGAGACGGAGGCCAAGCTGATGTCAGTTTTCTGCACCTTCTTGCTTCAGCCTCCACAGTGCTGGTTACTGACATGAGCTGCCACATAGGGTAGCAGGACAAGGATGTCCTTGCTCCCGAGACTTCCCAAGCATGTCTGCTCGGGTCTGCTGATTGTGCTTGCTCAAGCTGCTTTTTTGCCTCACCTAACTCATTGCCTCTTTGTGTTTTGCTGCGCTAGGAGGTGAACTTAGGTTCTCATTCGTACCAGGGAACACCAGCCAGTGAGCCATCACAGACCCTTTCGGTGCTTTGGTTTGGTTGTGAGACTCACTGTGATTCCTGGGTGGGTGGGATTTGCTGTGTAGATCAAGCTGGCTTTGAACTTGGAGATGTCCCCCACCTCTGAGAGCACTGCATTCTTGCTGTGTCCTTACTTGGGAAGGGACAGAAAGAAAAATACCTCCTGTCTTTCCCTAAGGGCACCAGTGCTGTTTTATTTAAGGGCTGTGCACGTGACCTGATGAACCCCCAAAGCTCCCAGCTCTACTTTTATACCCTGGGTTTTCCACAAAGGAAGTTTTAGTTCATAGCAACCCCTGTGTAGGAAAGTGGATAGCAAACATGAATAGTTTACAGGAAAGGAGTCCAGTTTGCTGTCAAACTTGAAAAGATGGTATTTTTTCTCTTTTGGGGCATGGTTGTTGTGGAGCTGAAACTATACTTTCTAGTCTATCAGTTTGGCAAGGGGATGAAATAGGAAAATGGGCACTTGTATATCATAGACTTTACCTGAGTATAAATTTGGAACAGCTGCTTTAAGGAGCACTCGGCCAGTCTGGAAGGTTGGTTTTTGTTTTGTTTTAACAGATAAATAAGCACACTACCGTTTTTGTGGATTTATTCCATGGACTGACTTGTACAGTACACCAGGCAGCACAGGCATTCTTGCAACAGTCTTGATGGCAAAGGATTGGAAATAGTCTCTTCACTGATTTGAGATGATCTCTAAAAACACAAGATACGGGGTGAGGGTATGGGTGCTGAATGGCACTGGGCCTCTGTGGGGGGGGGGTGGTTGAAATGTTTTGGAGGGCCAGCAGGATGGCTCAGTGAGTGGGTAAAGGCACTCGCTCCCAAACCTTATGGACTGAGTTCAAGACCCAGAATCCACATGATGGAAGGAGAAAATCTCTTCCCTCAAGTTGTCTTCTGCCCTCCACTCAGGTGTTGTGACGTGTGCCACCTATATACACTAAGTAAATAAATATTCATAATTTTAAAATGTTCTGGACTATCATGATAGTTGTACGGTTGATTAAACTAAATGTCACTGGTACACTTAAGGGTTTTTAAATTTTTGATTGTATTAAAGTGTAGATGTGCATGTTTTGAGTACATGCTACAGCATGCATGTAGAAGTCAGAGGACAACTTAACAGGTGTCCTCTCCTTCCATCATGTGGGTTCTAGGGGTCAAACTGAGGTTGTTAGGTTTGGCAGCAAGTGTCTTTACCTGCTAAGTCACTCCAAAGGCCCAATAAGAATTACTTTTTGATACATAGATGCTTCCCTGTTAAAAAGAAGGAAGATGGGTACCCTTCTTCGGGTTAAAGAATATGGCTGGGGGACTTGAAAACTCAGTGTGTGAGAAGTTGGGCATGGCTATATGTGCCTGTAACCTCAGCATTGGGGGCAGAGGTGAAGCAGATCTTGACAGTTACAGGCCAGCCAGCCTAGCCAAAATGGTGAGCTCCCAGGCTGGTGACAGACCAGGTCTCAGGGCCTGGGAGTGGAGATGGTGGAGGGAGACACATGATGCCCTGCTCTGCCCTCCTCGTGCACCCAACTGTTCGGCGTGCATGTGGTACACAGACACACACACATACAAACACACACAGACACACAGAGACCGACACACACACACACACAGACACACACACAGATGCGTGCGTGCTCACACATGGAATGATGATGCATCTGGTGTTGTCTGTGGTGGGGCATATCTGAATGTGGTGACACGTGACATGTGCTCTGTGAGAGGAGCAGTGAGGTTGGGCAGAAGGGCGAGGGAGTGTTAGTTCTCACTGAGACTCCTCTGTCCCACTTAATGTATGCTTTGTCCTTTAGTTTAGGCACTGTAACTTCTCAGGGCCTAGCAATTACTCTGTATTCCTTCTGCTCAGCTGTCTGTAGACTATAATTAGAGATTCATATTGCTTTTGTGTTTTCTAGGAAATTCTTTTCTACCTATGGATCTGGTCAGAAAGCTTTTGATCTGCTCAACCCAAACTTCAAGTCTACCTGTCAGCGGTGAGTATTTCCCAGACCAGAAGAGGTCAAGCTCCCTTGAGGTTTCCAATGTGGGTTTTTTTTTTGAGGGGCAGGGGGCTTGCTTTGAGACAGGGTTTCTCTGTGTAGCCCTGGCTGTCCTAGAACTAGCTCTACAGACTGGCCTTGAACTCACAGAGTTCCTGTCTCTGCCTCCCAAGTGTGGAAAGGTACGAGCCACCACAGCCCAGCTCAGCTGTCATTTTGAGGAGCTGTGTGGAGGTCAGGAGCGGTGCTCCTCTAGGCAGCTCTCTCCAGGGCTTGCTTGCCACTGTGTAGCAGATGTCGCCACAGCCCCAACACAGGCCTGGGATGGTCTGCTTGGAATTGCAGGTTTGTGGAGAAGTACATGGAGCTGCAGAATCTCGGAGAGACAGATGAAGAAAAGTTATTTGTGGAGACAGGGAAGGCTTTGCTGGCAGAAGGTGTCATTTTAAGACGAGTAAGAGAAGCAAGGACTGTGAGTATCTAATTGTCAAAGCTGTTGTTGTTGGGCCCGGGTGTAGCTCAGCAGGACCATGTGTGCTCAGTTGTGCTTTTGTGCAAGTGTGAGCACATGCACACATGTGTGCGCACACTCCCACACAAAAATAGTAATTTCAGTTGATGGTGTGTCTCTGTCAGTGAAAGGGGTAGTTTGCTTCCCGAAACCTTGGCTTATGCCTTTAACTCCAGGTCAGATACTGTCGGGTTGAATATACTGGGACTCTGTGACTTGCAACAAGTTACTGTTAGGCTCTTAAGAATGTGGTTCTAGAGAAATTTTTGTGCACTTGCTGTTTGTCATAAGGGAATTTGACCTGAGAGGTCACTGCTAAATGTCTTCCTCATGCTGGAATATGCCTGGCCATATAACTGCAGCCAGCCATGTACACTGGCAACATCTGAGAGACATGTGTTTTCCTTGTAAGCAAGGTGATGGTAGTCACATTCCCTCAAACCCTAACAGGTCAGTGTCAGACCCCAGGCTCTGTTGGAAGGAAACCAGCCTCGGGAAGATGCCCAGGAGCAGCCTGCACAGGAGCAGCAGGAGCCAAGGACAGATGTCCCCCCTCCCGGAGGCCCTTCCATGCACTGAGCATACTCACCACCCGGATACTGCTGAACTTCTGGATTCCGTTGGTCTCCACCCCAGGCACATCTGCCTGGCTTCTCATAGTTGCTGTTTCTGGGTTGTCATAAACCTCAGTACCATGGTTTGAGAGTGCCAGTTCTGTGAACTTTTGTTCATGACGCGGCTAAATAAAGGGTTCTTTGATGCTTTCAAAGTCACTGTCCCCAGGAACCCTCTACAGGTGCCCTGGGCTGGCTGTGGGCTGCCACACCTGTACCTGGCCATTTTTCTTACTTGGATCCCACAGGGTTCTACTTGCCCACGTGGTGTGGTCCCTCGACCAAGTGTTGCAGGTGGCATTTGTACTTTTTCTGTAGAGCTATTGACTGCAGCTCCAGAGGCCCAGCAGAGGCCCAGCCAGCTGCAGTAAGACTGAAGACCAGTCCGATGTAGCCAAAGACCCAAGCCATAAGTTGGAAGTCATGAGTTAAGTGTGTGGGCTTTGCAGCTCATAGGCTGCTTAGAAAATGTTTGTTGGATGAATAAATGATCACACCTTACTAAAGGTTGGTGTTTTTATTAGTTGCTCCCACTTTATAATTTCCTCATGATTGCGGGGGTGGGGGGGTTGGATCTCACTTTAGATGGAGAAGCAATTCTCATCCATTTGAAGATGTTTGATGCAAATTGGATCCCAAATACCCTGGTAGGCTGTGGGGAGAGCTCCTGTCCTGTGCCACAGAAGACACTCTCAGTAGGGCAGCCCAGAGCTGGCTCAGCTCCCTCCTCCAGTCCCCACATTTCTGGGTTTTTACTTATTTATTTTATTTTGTTGGTAGCTCTGGAGCCTGTCCTGGAACTCGCTCTGTAGACCAGGCTGGCCTCAAACTTACAGAGATCCTCCTGCCTCAGCTTCCAGAGTGCTGGGATTAAAGGCGTGCACCACTGTTGCCCAGGCTGGGTTTTAATTTTTTAAATTCTGCCTCACTGTCAGTGTCTGACAATGTCTTTCTCTACTTGTTGTGATATTGAGAGTCAGCCTGTGGAAGGAGGGGCCTAGGTAGCGTCTGTGAAGCGGGCAGAGCTGATACCATAGGGACTTGTGAGGTTAAGGACTGAAGTCCTGCTCTGCAAATCCTCCCTCAGGCTGCTCTGTTGTTTGGAGAGGATGGGACCCCTTCTTGCCTTAGGGAAGTCTAAAATCAGGTTGAGAAGACAGTGGCTTGAAAAGCAGCGAGGTAGACAGGAGTCTTTTGAATTACTGTAGCAGCCTGCAGTAGGGGCTCAGTCAGAGGAGTTTGATCCCCAACATCCATCACAGACACCAGCTGACAAAACAAGGGCAAGCTTTGCCTGGACTTCCGGTTCGTGTTGCGAGGTGAAGGAGATGCCGAATGCACAGCTTTACTGGTGTTGCCATGGGGATGGATGGGTATGTTGAGTGATGGGGAGACAGGTTTGAACAGACAGGGTGGGATCGGACTGTGATGACCCTGGCAGCCACATAGAGGGGTTGGTGTTAAGTTAGGTAGGAGTGAGCTGGGAAGCTATGTTGTCATGAAAGTATCAGCTCAATAGAAGGTTTGCTCAGGATTTAGCAGGGAGAGATGGACAGAGGGAGGAGAACTAGCAATTACAGATGTGAGTCCACACATGCAACCCCAATGCCGGGACACCCCTGCCCTCCAGCCTCCAATCGGGTTCTATTGCAAATGGTGGCTCAGTTTGGAGATTGTATGGTTCAGATTGAGTGTCAGCTTCCTGCTGAACCCCCATAGGGACTGCCGTCGGTTGATTCACTACAGCTTGTATGCCTGATCTGCTGCCTAACCTCCACCGGATTCCTGTAGCCTGCATTCAGCTACAAGCGTTTCTTTCCTATTAAGAACAAACAAGGACAGACATTTTCACTTTGTAGCCACTGAAGCATTGAACAGTTTTTCAGGAGCAGGCCCTCCCTCCCAAGAGCTCGAGCAGCCACAGCCGAGGAGCTGAAGCCGGAGGCAGGTGTCCAGGCTTCAGTGAAGTTTGCAGGAGACAAGCCTGAAGAGCTGGGTCCTTCTATGTGTCCATCACAGACACCAGCTGACAAAACAAGGGCAAGCTTTGCCTGGATTTCCGGTTCGTGTTGCGAGGTGAAGGAGATGCCGAATGCACAGCTTTACTGGTGTTGCCATGGGGATGGATGGGTATGTTGAGTGATGGGGAGACAGGTTTGAACAGACAGGGTGGGATCGGACTGTGATGACCCTGGCAGCCACATAGAGGGGTTGGTGTTAAGTTGGGTAGGAGTGAGCTGGGAAGCTATGTTGTCATGAAAGTATCAGCTCAATAGAAGGTTTGCTCAGGATTTAGCAGGGAGAGATGGACAGAGGGAGGAGAACTAGCAATTACAGATGTGAGCCACCAGGAGCCTGGCAGTGTCCTGAAGAGGGCGCCAATGGGGAAGGAATTGGCACTCTGAGGGGACAGGGCTTTAATTCTACTGGGGTAGAGGGCATGCCTCTGCCCAGGCAGCAGGGATAGAGGTACTTAGGAAACGGACAAAGTCGCTAGCAAAAAAAATAAGGTTCAGAGGTAGAGAATGAATGAACCACTGGCGGTGGCAGGGCACACAACACAGAGTGTGCGATCTGGCCAGGGAAGTGTTCTCAGTTAAGAGAAAGGCAGAAACAACAAAATGCAGCCAGGGACTGAGGAGAGAACCAAGCCAGTGAATGTCCTCACCTCTACACACACATGCGCACACATTCTTTCCAGCACGTGAACACACATAACATGCAAAAAATCCAAGGCAGGTATGGTAGTGCATATCTAATCCCATCACTTAGGGGGCTGAGGCAGGTGGATTGCCACAAGTTCTTTTTTTTTTTTTTTTTTTTTTTTTTTTTTTTTTATAAAACAGCCATTGAAGCAGGTCGCAGTTTTCCATGAGCTACTACTGGTGCCTGCCTAGCCCTCTCAGAATCCCTGAGTCTTGTCCATTCTCTTTAGATGTGCTGTGTCCAAGCCTGACAGCACGCTGGGATGGGTTGGCACTTTTCCCGAGTCTGCCTGGGAGTGAGGGCATCTGACACAATGTGACCCTGAGAGTAGAGGTGGGTGGTCGAGTGAGGGCGGGGCCGGGAGGTGGGGGCTTCGCTTTCTTCATGCTCTGTACTCTTGAGGTCTATTCTGGAGGCTGAGCCGTGGTCTCCCAGGGCTTCAGTGAGCCACTTGATGGAAGTCACCTTGGCAGGCAGAGGAAGGGCAGTTGCCCTCCCGTGGAAAAGACAAGAAATGGCTTCCATGTCACTCTCCCAGGGTGGTGCTCAGTGTGGCATGCTGCCCTCTGATTGGATGAGCCTGGCTCCAAAGCAGTTTCTGTGGAGATGGTGCACCAGGCCAGTGGCTGGCTGTTGCTGAGGCAGTGAGAAGGTTGCTAGGGGACGGTAAAAGAGGCAGAGAGTAAAGTGTCATGTCCCCTACACACGTTACCATCCACTACCATTGCTGCTTCCCTCCTCCGGGGGACTGCAGGGGGAGTTTTTGTTGTTGTTGTCGAATTGCTAAGCTGACAATCACATGGCATTTCAAGCTTAATTTTACCCTTGATTGACGCTTTTCCCCAGACTTTAACTTAAACATCAGTCACCTGACCTTCTCGCCGCTCGCTTCTTTTAATTAAAAGATGGTTCCAAGCAACAACGAGTAGGGGTCCATTTATTATTTATCAAGCATTTGCCTTCCAGCAGTTAGTGAAAGGTCACTGGCTTCAGCGGATGCTTTGTTTTTGGTGAGCCGCTTAGATGAAAAGGAAGACCGTCAATCTCGGCTCCCTCCTGTTTGCTTACTGGCAGGACACTGTTTAATAGTCATTGTGGCATTTAGGATCGCAGGCCTCGGAATCACGCAGAAAAGTGCAGGTGCGTCCCTTGCCAGAACATGTCTCCAAAAGTAAACATCAGGTTGTGATTATGGTTAATAATGAGATATTGATTGTCTGAAAATGTCACTGCCCGGGAGCAGTGAGCTACAGCGCCACCAGATGGCGCTGCGCTCTCGCGCTCTTCGACTAGAAAGATCGCTTTATTTCCTTGCCCGCGGGTACCTTGTCTATCAAGGTTGGCAAGTGTCCTTGTGAAATAACGTTCTGGCGGAGGTTTAGGACGCTGAGGTCCTCGGGTGCTATTGGGATGGAGTAGAGATAGGAGGCAACAGGCCACGGGACAAACGACAGAGGCCTGCGGGTGTATGTGTGTAGGGCGAGGAGTGTGCAGCATTTTTATATCAGAGAAGCAGCTAACTGTGCTGGGCCCCTGGAGACTGCCCAGAACAGTGTTTCCTAACACTTTCTACTCAATGACACATTTCATGTAGAGGGAGAGGAAGGAAGGTGTAGGTAGGGGGGCAGTGAGAAGCAATGGAAACTCCTGCCAGAGAGGAACTGAAAGCCGAATCTATGCTTGTCTTGTGCAGCGAGGGGAGTCGATTTCCTATTCTGTAAGACAGCACTATAGTGTCTACCTCACTGACTTTCAGTCTTTGCCCTCTGTGTCTAGGACAGGTGGGAGGTATGTGCATTCGATGAATGGATGAATGCAGACATGAAACAATGTGGCATGGTGCTGCCTCTACCAGTCATTTGTTTAAGCACTCGGCTCTCTCAATCCTGGACCTTCACAGTTTCTCCCTCTTTTGTTTGCTTGGTTTTTGCAGACAAGGGTCTCAGCTGGGCGTGGTGGCACACATCTTTAATACCAGGCAGATCTCTGAGGCAGCCTTGTCTACACAGCCATTTCCAGGACATCCAGGGCTAACGAAGAGAAAACCCTGCCTTGAAACAAAACGAAACAAAAAACCCAAGGGTCTCACTATGTAGTCCTGGCTCCTATACTTGGCTGTTACCATCTCTTTCCAGTACTGTATTCATGAATAAGTAAACATACATTTTTAAGTAAAGAGCAAAAAAGGAATCAAAAAAAATATCTTAGGAGGGTCTCTACTCTTGGAATTTACCCAGTGGTGGGTGTTAGGTTTCGTTAAGAACGGACAAGAAATTTATTTTTTAGTTACTCGGGATGAGGCAGGGAGGAGAGGGAGAGACAGAGAGAAAGAGAGAGCAGTAGACCAGGTTGGCCTTGAACTCACTATGTAGCTGAGGATGACCTTGAACTCTCGATAACTCATGCTTGCACCTCCCACGCTGACGTGCCTGCCTTGTCAGTGGCTCTCCTCTGTGCCTTGTCAGTCCTCCTCATTCCTCACCTTCTTTTAGGGACACTCAGGAGAGGTGACGGGGAGGGCTGTCACCTCTTTCCTCTGTCTTCTAATCATGACTCTGAGCTTGTCACATAACCATTTTGAGCCACATCCAACACCAGCACAGAACCTGGGACCTAACAGACACTTGGAAGTACACTTGTCTCTGGGCAGGGCAATGGCAGCACACACTTTTAATCCCAGCACTTGGGAGGCAGAGGCAGTCGCATGCCTGTGAATTTGAGGCCAGCTTGGTCTACAAAGTGAGTTCCAGGACAGCCAGGACTGATACACAAAGAAACCCTGTCTCAAAAAACAAAAATC